GGCGGCGGAGGCGGAGGAGGAGGGGGAGAAGGCGGAGGTGCAGGCGCTGGTTACGGTTCCGGGCACGGGTACGGCTCCGGATATGGCGCAGGTGCTGGTGGAGGGAGTGCCGGAGGATACGGCAGAGGCGGAGGCGGAGGCGGAGGAGGTGGTGGTGGTGGCGGAGAAGGGGGCGGTGAAGGCTCGGGATACGGGTCTGGGCATGGCTACGGCTCTGGCTATGGCAGCGGAGGAGTAGATGGACACCACTGAGTTGTAGTAATGTTCGAAATACGTGTGTAGTAAGTGCTTGTAAGACTACTTTCTTGAGATCAATAAAACAACTACTGTTGTTTCTTACAAGTGGACTAATGTTCTCATTGTAAATCTCAATAAATACCAAAACCTTATTATTAATCATCAAAATCTTAATTGTATAAGTGGAATATGTAAGACTAATCTTATTTTTTAATGGGCATAAAATTGAGTTCTAAACATCTGATCATTCAAATTCGATCGAGATCGATTGGTTAACTCGGTCACATCAAGATCTCTCGTGATAACAACCTCAACAACAGTTATGATCTTCCCAACTACAGATATCATAAATCTGTTAAAGAAAAATTCTTCATTCGTATAAATATGGAGTATTGTGTATTATTTCAATCAATACAATCTTCTTCTTTCTATTTCATTTCTATCAATATTAACATCAAATAATTAAAAAATATATCAGTTCATATATGTCGTCAATACTCTCTAACAAAATACTTATAACATTTCTTTTTAGTTTTACATTATAATTGAATTGAATTTTAAATTTATTTATAAGAATCTAATGAATGTACGATATTAAATTAGACAAACATATAATTCAAACTCAACAAAGTTAATTTTATTCCCTCGCAAGTGCTATGGCTTCCAAAATCCCATTAGAAACAGACTCAAAATATTCTATCTTCACTTCATTATATTTTGATTGAATTAAATATTTTAACTATTTTCATATACTCATTATTTTTTTTATGATTGATTTTAATTTCATGATCATTTTTATTGTTTCTTTTCTTGTATTTCGACTCTTTGTTATTATCGTCGTTCTTATTCACATTTGATTTTATCGTTGAAGACAAAGATTTTGTCAAGTTGGATCGGATTCATATATAATCATGTCTTAAGATTAGATCTCGATCATACCATAGTATTTGCATGCTTATGATTGATTGTAATCTACTGTTCAAGTAAATCCACCATGCACTGCAATCTTAGTGGTGTTCTACCTAACCTTTCCACTGGATTTACTTGCTTATGCTTCACCCAAGTGTCTCGATTAGAAGAAGAGCTATTCAGCGATGTGGTAGACGAAACACAGACTCCGGTGAGCGGTGCAGCTGCTGTCACATGGCACTCAACTCGCAGATGAGAGAGAGAGAGAGAGGTTGGGACACCGACGGCCGCAAAGGAAGGTTGGCGGTGGTGGTTCTCTCTGCCATGCAACAACGAGAGCCATGGAATCAGCAAAGTGGAGAACTCCGAGAAGTGCTTCGGACGCGGAACGAGTTCCGAGCGACGTCGAGAACGTTCCAGTGCTGGTGGATGTCGATGACATGATTTGAAAGCAACCAAAGGGAGAGAGATGGAAATAATTGCAGCGTTGATAGAGAATGCCACTGAGATGGTGACCGAGAGAATCCCACTTGCCGACCTGCCTCCACAAACTACGTGAATTGTGGCCTCGGATTTGGACTGTTAGCCATGCAGAGAAGGCCTATAAATACCCTTCGATTGCTGCTGGGATATAGCAACCATGGCTAGTAGAACTCGTGTTAGGCTTTGTGTTCTAGGCTTCATTGCTCTCCTTAGCCTCCAGCTCGCCTTCGCCGCTAGATCTCTGGCTGGAGTTAGCGCCGGAGGTGGCGGAGGAGGAGGAGGTGGAGGTGGAGCTGGTGGCGGTGGCTCTGGATATGGTGAGGGTGCCGGTGGGGGGAGTGCGGGAGGGTCTGGTAGAGGGGGCGGTGGTGGCGGTGGCGGTGGAGAAGGGGGTGGTGAAGGATCTGGTTTTGGCGCCGGACATGGCTATGGGTCCGGTTATGGGGCAGGTGCCGGTGGTGGGAGTGCTGGAGGAGGAGGCGGTGGCGGCGGGGGAGAAGGCGGAGGCTCAGGCGCCGGCTCTGGGTATGGACATGGCTACGGCTCCGGGTATGGTGAAGGTGCTGGTGGCGGGAGTGCCGGAGGATATGGCAGAGGTGGCGGAGGCGGCGGTGGTGGCGGCGGAGGGGAAGGTGGTGGTGAAGGCTCTGGATACGGTTCTGGTCATGGCTATGGATCCGGCTATGGTTCTGGCGCTGGCGGCGCTCAAGGTAGAGGCTATGGAAGTGGTGGAGGGGGTGGAGGTGGTGGTGGAATGGGCTCCGGCTCCGGCTCCGGCTCTGGCTACGGTTCTGGTTATGGTTCTGGGTACGGCGGCGGCGGCGGCGGAAATGGCCACTACTAGATTTAGTTCTATATACCATTAAATTACGTGCAATAAGAGCTCTGTTGCTGTATCAGTAAAACTTATTATGACATGTGCTGAATACAAAATACGTGGGAGCTTACTTGCTAATGCAAATAATAACTTCATGTTGGTATAGCTTCTTGCTTGGATTTATATGGGAAATTATATTATGACAGCTTAATATATATTTGGTATTGTTATATCAATTCAATAAAGAATTTGGTATTTTTGGATTATGAAGCTAAATTTATAAAGAAGCAGCCAACAAATATGGATTGATTATATTGGTGTTAGGATCATTCAAATGATAACATATCAACTTTACCATATGATTATCTATAGTTTGATATCAATATCCTCTAATGTTATCTTTTTAATTATCATTACCCGAGGCTGATGGGCTAATTAACTTATCAACTTCGTTTGGTCTAAACAACTGATCAAGCTGAAGTTGATAATAGTATACTCATCAGACCCTTATAAACCAATTTTAGTCTTGCCCACTTTCGATGTGGGACTAATTAGGGATGTTACAATCACGGCCCCGAGCCTGACAGGCTAACTAGCCTATCAACTTCGTTTGGTTTAAACAATTGACCAAAATGCTTAAGCTGAAGTTGATAGTAGTACACTCATCAGACTCTTATAAGTCAATCTTAGTCTTGCACACTTTCGATGTTGGACTAATTAGGGACGTTACATTAATTCTATCGTATTGTTATATCAATCATTTTAAGTAATTCTTTAAATATTATTTCTAAGATCATCCTCTCCCTTTATTGAATAAGATTCCGAAATGGATGGTTTGTGGATTGATTATTTCTCCACCAATGTCTTAATCACATCATTTGGAGGGACTGCAGATGCAAGTCTATATTCACAGCTTAACACAAGTATAAAAGGCTCAATCAACATATGTGGGTATGATTGACTTGGTGAGTTAGTTTACACTTAACTAAAATGAGTAAAAGATGAGGATCTAGAAACACTATTATGAGCTTAATTTAAAATGCTGATACCAGAAAATGACTTGGGCTAAGAGCAGATTTTGCAGGTCAAACAATTTCAAAGTTGACTAAATGAGCAAATGTAAATAAAATACTCATGTCTCAAATACAATGATCTGCTGTGAGCAAAAATGCTCCCATGCACATTAACTGAATGAAATTTAAACCTCATAGATTTTGAATGTAAATCATATTAAACAAATCCATGAAGTAGAAGTTGACCAGAATATGCTACAACTTTTAAACTTCCAAGTCATAGTGGCACTTGAACAAGTCACTTCCCAGTAGTACATCTCATATGCAAGATATGCTTTCTTTTTTATTCGTCATCATCATCAACTTGAGAGCTGGGCCGACGTGTCAACTCAGTGTATCAGCGAGCCCCGCTGGCGGCGCCAACTAGAACATCCTTATACCGGCCAATCGGTCTCAGCATTTTCATCATCCTCTGTCAAAAAGATTTTTGTTAGCTAATAAAATAAAAACTGAGCTAAGGGCAGCGCAAACAACTAACTACAAGATACATAAGCCGGAAGCAGCACAGCATAGTCTCTATACCCTTTAAAATCCAAATCTGCTATGCCACTTGAAGTAACCACTTCTCAAAATTATTTCTGATGTATGCATTAATTGATTGATTGTGAGTTCATATGGAAGTTGCAAAACATCATTGATTTCAGTATTGTGTTGCAAAACTGAATTGGTGGAGCTTTCACATACATGGTTGTCTCAATAAAAAAAAAAAAAAAAGAAACTACAACGGGGAACTCGAACCCGATACACAAAAGGTTTGGATGATTTCTCTGACTGCTTGTGAATTATAAATATAAAACTAGTTATCTCAAGTTCAAGCTTCTGGGCATAGATCTCATACAAAATTGAGCATAAAAATTTTAAAATTCTTCCCTATGATATGTCATCCAGGATAGGGTATGGTCAAAACTGATGGGACTTCATTGCTGTTGCCAAGTGTTATGAGTATACATGCACATCGAATAATCTAGGTGTTGACAACATCATCATAAAAAAAAATAGCCTACTATCAGAATCATGGATCAGCTGTAACTGATAAAGAGAGGAAGTGTGTGTGTGGTACATTGGGACCATGAAGCTATAATAATTTTTCAACATTTGCTTGTATAGTGTAGTAGCATTTTGCACAATAGAAGCAAGCATACCCCGTCGTTGATGCTAAACCTCCATTTAATTTGATGAAGCTGCCATTTGTTTCGCTGCCATCGATGCCCCAGAACAATGATTCCCACAACAGCCGCAGCTACAACCACTGACCAAAAGGTATCTGCCTCCTTTGCCTGGCGATACAATGATACTGCATGCCTCTTCCACCACGATTGGCAGGGAAGGTTGGATCCATCAAATTCGTCTTCATCTGGTTCTGTATGATCTCGAGGAGAATCCATATGCACATCGAAAGCTTCTTCACCGTCAAATTTTCTGCCACCCTCACATTCTTCGGAGCGAATAGCGACATCAGGATCAGCATATATATCTTGCTCCATTCCAACCAAATTTTGTCGTTGAGATCTATTGCTGTCTTCAAATCCCATATCACGAACAGCAATTCTACTCCCTTCATCAAAAAACTTGACGGCATGTAGGTCATCATCTAATACAATCTGCATCTTTTCTTTATCAGAATTATCAACTCCATCATTACCAACATCTACCACTGCAGAACTCACATTATGCCTCTCCGGCTTGATATGGATCTCGCTTACATTGGGTTCTATTGGGAGATTCTCATGTTCACTGGGTGGAAACACAAAATGACCAGACATGAATAACGCTGCAGAAGACTCGCGTTCGGTTACGCCTATCTCTCTACTTTCATCAGTAGGGTCAAATTCTGGACCAGGTGATGCAGCATAGGCAGATGCTGTGAGAGACACGACTTCCCAGTCAACCCCACGAGAAGAAGTTCCCTCTTCCTTTTTCTCGTTGTCCGCCATGTCAAACCCTAATATTTATTAGAAATTTAAAAAGATCAAGTCATTCCGGTGCAGACAAAAATACATATCCAAATGAACTCAAGCACACAAGGAAAAGGAGGAGCACATTTCCAGTAAGATCAACACCCAAGAAACAAAATCCATATGGTAAAAAAGCAGAAGTTTTCCTCCTCCATTTTCAACACAGATTCTTCCCCCTTCTTTCATGGAAGCCAAGTTAGCGTCTCAATATCAAATCAAGCAATCATGATTCGTAATAGAAGAAGATCAAACTCTCTTTGTTCGAGGCAATCTCATGATTAATGTACCGCATGAAGCAACAGACATCAATCCATTCCAGTAGAAGCTACAACTGTGAATATTGATAGAAAGCCCCAATATATCGAGACACTCCAACTTCTCGACATAAAATCTACAGTCTCGTCGACGAAACCCACCAAAATTATGCGACGGGTTGAGAATCTAACCATCTAATCCAGCCCAACAAAGTCAAATATCCAGATCAATAAACTGGCACCCATCTATCAAAGCAAAGTACCAAACTGACAGAGACCTCAAACTCTAATATGACGAGATACAACAAAACTAGAAAAAATCATTAGAAGAAGGAACTCAAAAGACGAGATCTTTTACCTCAAAACGGAGATCTTTGACAAGGAAAGGTAGATGGGGAGCGAGGAGAAGAGGATGGACTCGGAAGAATCCCCAGCAAAGACCCCGGAGGCGATGAAAGGGTGGGCGTGGGGCGAGTCGAGATCTTGTGCTTCCGCGATTGGGACCGATTCGGCCGGTGGTCTCCGTACCAAAACCGGCTGCAACCGGTCACCCTCTTTGAAAGATACACCCACGTAAAAAATTACTAAAAATTAATTTATGCTAATTTTTATTTAATTTTATTCCATTTAAGATGAATTTACTCCCTCTGGATCAGAACAATATTATTATAGAAAATTTTGTGAGCTTAAAAAGTTATTTTCTAAATTGAATTACATCGAATAGGATTATTTTTGTTGAGGATTGAATTTATGCTTTTTTTTAATTTACTCAATTTAAGATAAATATACAATCACTTTAGACCAAAAACCACTACAATATTATCAGATTTTTTTTTTCAAGTTTTAAGAAAAAAATTAGAGACATAAGATGTACTATTTTTAAATGTGATTATGCTCTTTTTGGGTTATTTTTTTTTTATAAAAGGTATAACTAAACTCATGCTCTTTTCAATAATTCTTAAATTTTCAAAAAAACTTTGAAAAATACATTCCATAGGTTTTCAATAACCATTTTTCAGTTTTAAGCCTTTAAATTAGGTAATTGTACTAATTTTATCACTCAAGAGGTTATAATTAAGTCTTTTTAATTTTACCCAATTTAAGATAAATTTATAACCAACCACTTGAATATCATTATAAAAAAAATTCTGATAATTAAAAAAAAATGTTTTTAGAGTTGCACTATTTTTGTAGTCGTATTAAAAAACTATATAACTCATCTCACTTTTTTTATTTTTTTTGAGAAGTCTCATATTTTTAGAAAACTTTGAAACTGAATTATAAAGGCATAAATGACCATTTTTCTATTTTTAAGCATTTAAAAATATTTTTTTTACTAACTTCAACACTTAAGAGCCTGAATTTATGCCTTTTTTAGCTTATCTAATTTAAGATGAACTTATAACAACTTTGGTCTAAAAATTACTTGAGTATTATCCAAAAAAAATTTTTAAGTTTTGAGAAAAAAATAATAAAGACTTGATTTACATTATTTTTTAATATGATCACACTATTTTTAGAGTATTGTTAATAAATAGTATAGTTTACCTCTCTCCCTTTTAAAAAATACTTAAATTTTTCAGAAACCCTTAAATGACTTACAATATATAAATGATCATTTTTTTCCATTTTAAGTATTTAAAATAAATATTTTTACTAGTCTTACCTCTTAAGATGTTAAATCTGTATTATTTTTTATCTTTATCCGACTTAAGATGAATTTATAACCATTTGAATATTATCACAGAAAGTTTTCTAAAGTTTTGAGAAAAAAATATTTTTAAAGACCTTAGTTATACTACTTTTGGAGTAATATTCAAGAATAATGTAACTCACTCCTCACTCTTTCAAAAAAAAAATGTTATTTTTTTTAAAAAAACTTTAAAATGAATTCCAAATGCCTAAATTATTTTTTATTTTTAATGTAAATATGTTTACTAATTTCATCCCTTAAGAGGTTCAATTTGTGTTTTTATAGTTTTGTATAATTAAAAAAAAACAGAATCATTTTGGGTCAAAATCACTTAAATATTATGAAAACTTTTAAGTTTTAAGAAAAAAAATAGAGACCTTACTATTTTTGAACGAGGTTATATTATTTTGAGGTCCTATTAAAAAAACAGAGTGTAAGCCTTATTAAAAAATCTTATAACTAATATTTTATTTTTTTAAAAAAATCTTAAATTTTAGAAAACTTTAGAAATAAGGTCTAAATGATTTATTTTCTATTTCCAAGTATTTAAAATAAGTATTTTTACTATTTGAAGCCCTTATGATGTGGAATTTGTATTTTTGTTTGAATTTTACTCACTTTAAGGTGAATTTAAAATCACTTTAGGTCAAAAACTACTTGAATATTATCAGAGGATTTTTTTTAAGTTTTGAGAAAAAAAAAACAGTTTTTTGCAATCTAAGTGACATTGTTTTTAACTAAGATGACACTATTTTTGGTTCCTGTTTAAAAATAGTATATTTCACATTAAAAAAAAATTAAATTTTTAGAAAACCTTATAAATGAATTATAAATGCCTAAATGTTCATATTTTCCATTTTAGTAGTTAAAATAGGTACTTTTACTAATTTTAACCTTTATGGGTTTGAATTTGTGTCTTTTTATAATCTTACATAATTTAAGGTGAGTTTACAACCGCTTTGTACCAAAAACCACTTGAATATTTTATAGAATATTTTTTAAAGTTTTGAAAAAAAAATAGAGAATTGTTTGAATGATATTTTTAGGGGTATATTCAAAACAATGTAATCACATTTAAAAACAGTATAATACTCATCTCTCACTCTTTCCAAAAATTCTCAAATTTTCATAAAACTTTAAAATAAATTATAAAATCATAAATAACCACTTGAATATTATTAGAGAAGATTTTAAAAACAAATTGAATATCATATTTAAATATAGTGTAATTCACCTCTCATTCTTTCGAAAATTCTTAAATTTTCATTAAACATTGAAAAGGAATTATCATCCTCATTTGTTTTATGAAAACATTTACAAATAATATCCAAATTATAGGATTCATCCCTACCAATAAGCTTTCAATATAAAATTATTTAACATAAAAATTATTAAATAAACTTTTATATTAAAATAGTTAAAAATATGAATATCATAAGTAATTTTTAAAAATAAAAAATATTATACTTTCCCCTTTAATATATATGTATATATATATATATATATATATATTACTTTTATTTATTTGAAATCCATAATGACTCGTTGATTCGACCCAACCGAATCTAATTTGATTCGACCCAAGTGTCTTCAAACGAACGCAAGTCGCTACGGTTGAGTGAAGCCCGGTTTCTGAAGCAGCGCCTAAACCCCCTCTTTGTTACACGACCACCTTCTCCCTCTCCGCCTCATCACCGTCTTCCTTTCTCTCGGCAGCCGTTCTTCTTCGGAGATAAAGGTGGGTCAAAGCCCAAAATTCTCCCCTTCTTTTCTTCTCCCCTTCCTTTATCCGTGTATTTCGAGCATCGATCTTGAATTGTTTCGGTAAACCAGCTTGAGATGTAGGCGTACGCGGTGGGAAGTTCTTGCTTCTTCATCTGAAAATTAGGTCTTTGATTGTTCAAGCTCCTGGTCCATGACCTTGTTTCTGATCTGATTCATTTTCCATAGTTTCTACCACAAATTATAGTTCTTTTCAGGTTACGTTTTATTCTTCACAAGGGAACTGAGATGGGAATGGAAGGTTACTGTGGAAATGCGTGCAAGAAATGAGATTTTTGGAATCTGGGTTTGGGTTTTGGATAATGTGCTTTCATAGTTAATAGGCAACAAGAAACGTATTCTTACTGCTTTGAGGTGGTTACGTTGAAGCTGAACAGTTGTTTGTATAGAGAAAGAGGTTTTGTGATAATTAGGGTTGTTATTTTAGTGATTGTGAGTCGTCACTATTAATAGATTGGTCGGAAAAAGTGGGAGGTATTGCGATGCATATAACTAACTAGGTTCGAATTTCAACTTCGGAACTTCGGGTATGCTCAGAAGGTAGGATTTCCTTGACAGTGACTGTGAAATGGAGTAACCCGATGTCCGAGTCTTGTAGAACATAGATAAAAGTTGTGAGAGATAATGGTTACGGTGAAATACTAGTAACTGTCATGAAAAAGTGGATTCAAGCTGGTCCTTGTTCCTACTTTGAAAACTTGGCTGAAACTAGACTTGCCTGTGGCTACATTAAAACTAGAATTGATTCAACCTGTTAAAAGTTGGATCCAAGTCATGTAGGATATGATATGCTTCATTTTAGACTCAAGACACTTGCAAGTAGTGTCAAATCTATTCTCAACACCTTGCTTATAGATTTGTTTTCAACATTGTCCTCCTGTATGCCTGCCTTTTGCCAAAATGTGAGATAAATATCACATCCAAGTTCTACTTTGCTTCCAGCCTTTTCTATTCGGTTTCATTGATGCAGTTCTTCTGCATCCGTTGCTTTTTATGTGCAAGCTCTTTTTAAGAAATGGTAATGTCATGCAGCAGTTATACATCAAATTTGCTTTATTCTGTTCTTGAATTTGTTTACGTTATCATATCGTCTCAGTATGTGTATTTATAGTGCAGACAACCGATTATGGGAAAATGGAGTACAATGTGGTTATTCACAAAGAAATCTGTAACTGGTGCTTTGATTGGTCTAACAATTTCGGATCGATATGGCTTCATTGTTCCTGTGACAGGCAGTTCTATGCATCCAACATTTTCCGCCTGTGATGCTAGGTTTCCTGGATATCTGAAAGGTATCTCATTATGGAAGGGATTTAGTTTAAAAATTAGTTTATGGTGAAAATGTCTTCCATATAAAAAAAATTGTGAAAAGATTTTTTTGTCTACTTGTGCTCACTACACCCAGCTGATGTTGTACTGGTCGAAAAATTCTGCCTGGAAAAGTATAAATTCTCACATGGCGATGTAATCACTTTCAAGTAAGTTTTCATATATCCATCTGTTTTTCTGACTGGAAAAGTATAAATTCTCACGTGGGGATATAATCACTTTCAAGTAAGTTTTCATATATCCATCTGCAGCTGTTCAGCTTAAGGACTATTTTGTTTAGAATAACTTGTTCAACCAACATTTTACAAGATTAAGCATATGTGTGTAATCAAATAGTATATGCATACTTCAATCCATATTAATTTTGGTCTAATTCTTGTTTTGGGTTTTTTTATAGGTCTCCAACTGACCACAAGCAGAATTTTGTTAAAAGATTGATTGCATTGCCTGGTGATTGGGTACAAGTTCCAGAGTCTTCTGAAATATTGAAAATTCCTGAAGGGCATTGCTGGGTTGAAGGTGATAATGCAGCCTGTAGTTTGGATTCACGATCGTTTGGCTTTGTATGTCACCTTTGAGCATGGAGTCAGTTATAACTTAACTTTTTATTTTGTTCTTCTCATTCTACATTCATAATTATCTACCTTTTCTTGTATGTTGTATGCGTAAATACTTTTAATTCTATCATGACTTGTCATTTTGGTACATAAGCCCAGCATGGCTTTACTGCAGCCCAGCATTCCATTTACTTGAGATTTGCAGTCCAACATTGTATAAGCTCCTGTTTGTCTATAATTATTTTACAAAGAGAATACTTAAAAGAATCAAATTCATAATTCTTTTACATTATATGAGCTCCTGTTTGGACCTAGATTTATCATATTACTGTGACAACAAGTTTAATGACCAAAATCTGTATGAAGGTTATAAAGTTTGACATAACTTAGTGCACAATGGGGCAGGTTGTCCACAAAGTTATACAGCATATACCCTTGTGCCACTATCATGGATTGCTACATGTATACCACAAAATCATGTCTCTGACTAGGCATTACATTATGTGCTTGTTAGTTTAGTTAGTAAAGACTTTGATAAATCATTGCAAGGTCCTGGGCTCGAATCTCGCCTTTGCCACATACTCTTTGCAAAAAAATTACATTATACCATCCTGGACTATGTGATTGAGCTCATAATATACCCACTGGAAGAGCACAGATATGCCTGGTTAGAACTGAAACATGCCACTCAGGATACTGCACAAATATTACCTTTTAACCGAAACTGTGGTATACACGTATCGGTTAATTTGTACATATTTATTAACTTACTGAATTAAGAAGAAATTAGAAAGGAAACTACATAGTATTTATTTGAATCGGATTGTGTTGGACAGTCTATTAATACTTATGTCTAATACTGAAGACATGTTTCCTTTTATTGCATTATCTTTATGTTACATGAATTTTGCCTGATGAAGTCTGATGTTGTCACATCCTACTGTTCAACTCTTAAAATTGTGAAACATGGGAATCTTTAGTTTGCATTTACTGCATTACTCTGCTGGTATAAAGGAACTTCTCATATCTTCTAGAGTGAGACATTACTTCTTGCTTGGTGCTGACATTCACATTGGGATGTTTAGTGGACATCTCATCATTATTCCAAATTCATGTGTAAATTGAAAGACTGAAACATCTTTTAATGTGTGCCATTTCTGATGCTTAATTTTGCAGTAGCTGGCCATCTTTAATATGAAGAACTATGAATCTTGCTTATCTACAAGAGTGACAAGTATTTATCTTAACTTGCAGGTTCCTCTGGGTTTGATTCAAGGGAGGGTGACTCATGTGATCTGGCCACCCCAACGAATAAGCCAAGTGGAAAGAAAGAAGGCTATCGAGAGGATTTCACCACATTAATTTATTTTGTTACAGATTACCTACCATTTCAAGTCAGATTCATACAATTGTTGAACCTACAGTCTGCCCTTTGCATCTAGGCCATAACTGGATCCATCCTTAGATGGACCTTGTATTCTTCATCTATTCGAGTTTCTGTGCCATTTGTTTTCCATGGCAATCATAAATTCTCATTATTTATCACTTTGTTGGGGAATTAAGCGCTATTTCTAACTAGTTAGATTTCCCCTTGAAACTTACATGACCAACACATCTTAGGAGATAAAAAGTTCTCTGATGCGGTTAGCCTACCTGGCTGTTAATTTGCTCAGCTTAAGTAATATGCTTTCTCTATTTTGTTGCCTTCATGAATCAATATATACTTAATGTTAACATGTGTCTCTGCAGTATGTTTTCGGCCTATTATTGGTTCAAAAACATCTTTGTGAGTGCTGTGAAGTGCAATCACATCATGAAAACATTTGCTGTTCTGTTCTAAGTTTTAGAGAGAACTAATTGTAGGCTGCCAAGTTTTCCGCTTCTACATTAGTCGTTTCTGCATGACCTAATTGAGATGGTTTTCCACATGAGTGTCCCCATGCCTTGAATCAAGAGAATCTCTTGACTTTTGAAAGAACCAAAATTCTTAGGCATATGAATTTCGATATTAATGCTCAGATGTTTATGAGGCATTTATGGATGATTAGAAAAGAGTTATCTGTTCTCTCTATAAAGGTCATGATGGGTACTATATTTGCGAGCAGATGATATTTTTTTTCACTCTTAAGAGTTCCTAGATGAGTTACTAAATGAATTTTAACTATTCCATGTATGTATAATTAGTTGTCATTTATTTTGTCTTCAAAAATAGGGAATAATTAATATATTAAAAATCATCCATGTTTGGAAGATTGTTCAAAATTATCACTATATATCTCATGTCTTGTAGACCTTAGAGGATAGAGTGATTTGAATGCAAGTACTGTTTCTTGAAAGGCTTTATCCTTCTTATACAATTGTCTCCTCAGTGATTCTTTAGATAAGTGAATTATAAATCTTATATTCCTGACTAGCCTCCTTATGTGGAGATATTGATATCTTCTATATGTTTCAGGGTAGTAAGCTTGTTTATATCTTTTGTTTAACCTATTCCACTTGTTTGCTCTTCATCTAGTCATCAATGATGCATATGAATAGGATTGATGCATTCTTGGATTCCAAGTCATTGTACAGGAAACTCTCCTCTGTACATCCCTCTTGAAGGAAATGTCTAATAATGGGAACCATTGACTTCTTTTTGTTACTTGTCCTCAAAACCCTGACTCTTTGCATACCTTAATTCTTTTGACTTGATCTTTCAATGGCCAAGCAATTGGTTTTGTTCTTCTCTCAGAGCCTTGAATCAACATGCTAATAGAAGAATTGTTGTTGCACTGTATGGATAATCTCATAGAGAACTTCCTGTAAAGTTGAGATAGAACCAAGCTGGTAGTTTTCCTAATTCTCAGTTGCTGTCCTCTTTTACCATTTGCCACAAGAAAACAAACCAAGTAATCAACCTCACATGCTGTCTTCATATATCCTCACACCAATAATGAAAAGGAGAAAAATACAAAAGGATGTTGATGGCAATACAAAGTTGTTTTTTGGGTAATACATGATACTTTTGATCGATATTACTAGCATTTGGCATAATTTGATATTGATCGACTAAGAAATAGTAGCTGACGAACACCAAACTAGATTAGTCGACCGGCACAGGTTGCATCTGCTCTGCTTCCTGCCTTAATTCTTCAAACAAGGCAGATGATAAGTACCTCTCCCCCAAGCTTGGCAAAACAGTCTGCAACGCAAATATCAGATCATGTTATTTCCTTGGCATTCACCTGACTGAAAAATGCTAACATGCTGATTTATTACAAAAGCAATGAACAAATAGAAGCAGTCTGCATGATTTCTATCGGTGTCCGATCAAGTAAACAAAATGAAGAAGACAATTAAGTTTAGAGAAGAAAGCTGTCGAACAATATAATCGATATGAATTAGTAAGTTGAAACTTCCAAACTATATATGACATAATTGCATACCACAATAAGTTTGCCTTTGTTCTCTGGCATTCTTGCAAGTTGAAGTGCTGCAACAGTATTAGCTCCAGAGGATATTCCAACCTACAAACAAATCAAACCAAAGTGACATTTAATGTAGATTGAAACAAAATTATTTAATTCTCATCACAGGAGAACAAAAAAAATTTCATTTTAACATGGGATAATTTGTATATGGTCATTACCAAAAGCCCTTCCTTTGTTGCCAACTCTCTAGCCATCTTTACAGCATCCTCACTCTTGACCTGCTCAAAGTTGAGATAGTGATTACATTAAGAAAAAAAATTGCCAAAGATGTTCAAGAATGTCCGAGTAAAACCTAACTTGCCTCAAGAACTTTTTCCATTACATCCATGTCCAAGATCTTGGGCTTAAAGCCAACACCGTTACCCGTGATAAGGTGAGGACCTGCACCGGAGCTTGTGTAAAATTCTTCGATGATGTAGCATTAAGAAAACATTATCTGATTTTGACTACAATTAAGGATTATACAGTCATTTGCCTTGGCTTATGATTAGTTGTAACGATAGATTAAAATGCTATGTACCTACCTGGCTGACCACCATTAAGAATGTTGGATTCAGCTGGCTCAACTCCGTATATCTACCAAAGATCGTAAAAGAATGAGTGCAAAAATTAACAACCTACATGCATCACTTGTAATAAAATCTGCATGATTAATCAAACATGACTTATTTTTTCAGTACATCTCTCGTTAGCATCGAGAGTCAATCTCTATGATGAAGCATGTACCTTTACATTAGGGTTCTTTGATTTTAGATACTGCCCGACGCCGGTCACAGTACCACCACTCCCAATTCCCATTACGAAGATGTCGACTTGGCCTAGTGTATCATCCCATATCTCAGGGCCTGTGGTTTCAAAATGTACCTGCATGATCTTGTTAGATATGAATAACTACAAAAAATTACTGCAAATAGATTGGATGAAATGCTTAGATTTTTTTTCCTCTGTTTTCCATCAAAAATCAAAACAAAACAAGATGTGATAACTACACTTACCATATTAGAAAGAGATAATTCAGGGAATTTTTCTTCAACACTGATGAAACTTTCTTTTATTAGCTACTATGCATGGATGTACCATGAACATCACAGAATTAACTATATTATGGTTAATGTCTAATTTGTGAACTTTGCATCGGAGTGCTACGGACATCGGTAGATTAGAGATGGAAAGAAAATGTCTTTCTTGCTACAGGATGTAAACGGCAAAACCAATTAGTGTAGGCCGGAATCTTCAAATACTGAAGTAGCTCAGGGAATATTTCTGAGTATGAAGTGAATGCAAATGTTAGTGTCCGAGCAAAAGAAATATAATATTTAATATTGGATATTACGAAATTACTGAAAGTTCAAGACCACATAGTTTGCTCAAAATCAATTGATGTTGTGACCATATATCTAAAGAGACAAAAGAAAGTTACCTTGACATTAGCAGGATTCTCAAACTGTTGAAGCATGAACGCATCTGGGTAAGACTCCATGAGTTGGTATGCCTTCTTCACTGTTCCCCCCATCCCCTTGGTTGGATCAGTGAGCACTAAGTTTGCACCAAAAGCCCTCATAGTCACCCTCCTCTCCAGACTCGTATACGAAGGCATCGTAAGCACAAGTTTATAGCCTTTTAGAGCAGCCATAAAAGAGAGCCCAATGCCCATATTTCCAGATGTGGGTTCAATTAAGGTTGTCTGATAAGAACCAGTGATGATAAGATTAGTATGAGCATGAACTAAAAAATCATATCATCTTATTCTTTGACTTATTTCATCTTAAGGTATGTGCAACAGGGTAAACGCCAGATCTTAGTTTTGAATTGCTTTGTTAAAGTTAGATATTTGATTATTGGATTGTGTTAATTCAACCAGAGCTGCAAGAGATGAAGTGGATCAGAAAGGATGGACATAAAACAAATAGCGATAACCTTGCCAGGAGTTATCAGCCCATTCTTCTCAGCATCTTCTATCATGGCCACAGCCGGCCTGAAAACAAAGAAAGAGAAGTAGACTGAGCAATTGCCCATCAATCAGATGGTGGCCAAGCCCACATCTCGCGGACTACATGAAGACAAGAGACAGGGGAACATGTCATACCTGTCCTTCACGCTGAAGGAAGGTTGCAAATATTCCAGCTTTGCTGCGATCTGTGCATGACAGCCTTCAGTCACTTTGTTCAGATAAACCATCGGCGTCCTCCCAATAAGCTGCGTTCACCAAATCAAACTCTTGTCACCAAGAAAACAAAAAAAAAATCATTTTTGCTCTTTTTCTCCCTTTCTTTCTGTGCGTTTTCACCAAATCAAACTATTATCAACAAAAAAAGATCAATTTTTGCTCTTTTTTCTTCCTTTATTTTTGTACATTTGTCGAAGTTTGAAGATTGCTTGAGGATAGATGGAAAGAAAGAGATGAATGCAAAGCAAAAGGTTATTGCCCGACGAAGTGGTAAAGCAAAGAGCAAAACGGGGCTCACTTGCGTGGCTTCCTTGTTGATTCGGAGGCCGGACAAGTCCTTGAGGTTTGGAGAAGCCACAGCAGGATCCACCGCTTGTTGAGTAGAGAAGGGCGAGGCCATTCGCAGAAGATGCAACCCGCTCCTTCCCCTTCTCACAAGCTCCATCATGTTCCTCGCCATCTCTCTCTCTCTCTCTCTCTGCCTGCTGCTACTGCGGCCGCTGCTGCGCTCTCTCCCTCTCAATCTGTTCGTCTAGTTATCTTATTGGATGGCACAAGTGGGGCGCCACGCGTTCAACGCCAACCACGTTAAGCGGGCCGATCCTCCTGTCAAACACAGGCAGGGAACAGGATATAAGCATCTCGCGGACGTGAATGTGCTTCCGTGTCGATCATTAATTGCACACAAAGTGGGACCCCGCATAATGACCACCTCATATGTTCTGTTTGGTGGTTGTACTAAGTCACAAGTCGAGCAGACCTTACCAACTATTTGGTACATAAACTCGACTGCTTTTATAGACCATCTTCCCATAAGAATCAAAGCGGAATCGACATCATCGCATCTTAAGCATAGATAGAGACTCGGCATGGCAATTACACGGGTCAAGATGCATGCACGGAACCCACCGATGCAGCCATTAAGTTCACCGGAATCATCATGCAAAGACAAGAGAAGATAGGACGGATAGGGTGACGGCAATCAACCGAGAAGGTATAAAGGACAGCGTCAATGACATGGGTGTGCTCCGCATCGCAGCCACCGCATGATGGCGGTGGGAAGAAGAGGAGATAGCTGGCAACGGGTCAGAATTGGGCACAATGGTGGGGGTATCGTAAGAACGGGACCAAATACAAAGCATCGGAAGGCCATCATCACCCACCAAAAATTCCCACGAGAGTATACTATTTATTCTTTTGTTGTTCGACTGATTTCCTGCGGTTTCCGGGAAAGTGGTCATGTTTCTTTAAAGAATAATTTTAAGTGGTTCTTGATATATAACATAAGGAAGGACACTGGTTTTGATACCAAAAGGCAATATAGTCACTAAATAAGGATATGGCAAGAGGAGTCTCTCTCTCTCTCTCTCTCTCTAAGCTCATTAAGCTTGAGTATCCCTAGTGAAAGAACTGGAAGAAGAGTCTTCATGGGGTTCTAGCATGCCTAATGTGTCCCCATCGAGTACATATATATAATTTTATATGACTCAACATATTTATTTATATTTAATAAAAAATCTAAACTTTTTATAAGATAATTTATCTAAAAAAAATTTAATAATGAGGTTTTTTAGTATGATACCTCCGTGTTTGGTTTTTTAGTATGGAACACCTATTTTTGTTGAAAATTTAAAAATATCTTTTAAATAATCGATCGAACTGTTTCAAACCCGACTAACCCAAAGACTAGTTAGTTCGATCTGATCTAGATCTTAATCTAGGTTGATCGGATTTGAGTCAGATCATTTGATGTAAATTCGGATCGAATTGAATTTGAATTAAAATACAAGGGGTATGAACCAACGAGGGTTACATTGAATGAGGATTATGCTTTCAAGCTTTTAACTTATGTAAATTTGAATTTTCATTTCAAAATTTCTTGTTATGATAAATTCTTGTAAAACTCATTTAAACTCTTAAATATCTTTAAATACATACAAAATATGAAAGACTCAAGTGCCAAATATCATAACAAATCTTTATATTTCATTTTATAATATAAATAGTAGCAAATTTTTACCAGTTCAATATATATGTCATTGGTGACATGTTCATCTTCATCTAGAGACAAAGCTAAAGCATTAAAGTTGAGATCATCTTCTTTCTGTAACCCTATCCTCCAAGAGATTTTATACACATCTGGATTGAAATCGATCAGCTTACTAACAATATCATGGGCATAAGATGTATTATGATCTATATTTTCTTTGATTTCTTCTACTATTCTTTGATTATCTCACTTTCTTTGAATATCTCATAACTATCTTAGTTCTCATCCATGATAAATGTTTTAGTCAAATCAAATATATAAGCTTAAGGTTGTGCAAAAAGATCATTCAATTGGCTTCTCTAATTAATGGCCACTTGCCAAAACAAAATTTGATGGTTGAAGTTGTGAAGAGGTAGATCCTTCAATTTGGTTTAGTCTCAATTATTACTTGCCAAAATTACTTTTGATGCCAAAATTACTTTTAATTCCGGTATTGATAAATTTGTTATTTCATCAAAACTATCCATCTTATCTAGAAAACTTAATCTTTCAGAGGATCATCATGGTAATAAATAGTTTATAATTAAATGACATTCGAAATTAATGGTACCAAACTATAAAAATATAAATATTTAATACTATACATTTTTTTATTGTTACAACAAATGATTCACGATGCTATGAATGATAGGTCGATACAACAAATGTTGAGGCTTCAATGATACTATAAATGTTTCACCGATACTATGATAAGTCATATAGTTATTCAGCTAGGCTGGAAAAAGCCACACAATATTACAATAATAAATCGTTGATCATTGTGGTTGCACAAAGCTTAATGATCAACTGATGGTTACGACGATAACGAATAATAAGAAGGCTAATGTACTTTTGTTCACTTCTTGCGTCGTTGGTGATGATAATCGTGACCCCCCTTCCTCTCCTTTATGAGAATGGCTTGTTAGAAGGACTTGATGGAGATGATGATGACTTCGTGATAGGATTTGACGACACCACCAGGACCCAATGGCGACGATGCCACCGTCGATATCCGATGTATTGTGGTAGGAACTCTAACCCAATGGCTAGGGTTCACAGTAGAGGGTGACAACAATGAAGATGGTGATAGAGACGATGAAGACGATGATGTTTGTCACCAATCACCACCAATAGGGTTCGTCATTATTATTGTTGCATTAGTCAAACGAGAGTAGTTGGATAATTTAAGAGATAGTAGGGGAATCTAGGCCCTAATAATAAAAAAATTAATATTTAGTCATATTGAATTGGTCTATTTCAATAAATTTGATTTGGTGTAATCCATCACATTGATTCAAGCCAAAAATAAATTAAACAAAATCAAAGTCTTTAGTTCTACGATGCAAAAAGGGTCTATCTCCTGGTTTAAAAAAAAAACATGGGCACCATCTGATAAACCATTATTATTGGAGACTTTTTAGTGTACATTATTTTTATATAATAATAATAATAATAATAATAATAATAATAATAATAATAATAAAATTAGAAAATATATTCTTTAGTTATTCCAAACTCAAATCATCGCAAGAATTTTCTCTCCTGACATTTATAAGAAAATATGAAAAGACACTTGAGATGCGGAAGCAATCCGAAAGCGACGAGGAAACGACCTCAACTACAAATGAACATCAAAGTCTAAGTTACTGTAGCAGAGCTCAAAACTCAAATCTCTAAGCAGAAAACTAAGGACAATCATTCATAGGGAAAATAAAAAAGATATTTTAGAAAACAAAGAGTATTCTTGGAATAATAAATTTATTTCTGCATCAATACTCTGTTTAAGTTTCCAAAGTGCATTAATCTCCAACACTCCCCGACAAACTCCAATTAACTCTTTGAGCTGTGGTGAAGAGATCTGCAAGTTGGTCTTTGAGTCCTGCAGTGTTGTAATTGAACTCGGATTTCATCCTATTGCAATTGCGTATTTGTTTTCATAAGATAGATACCAAATATCATGACCCATGGGATAAATGTCTTAAAACTTCGTTTGACCCAAATGATCAAGATAAAATTATTATAATATATTCATCAAGTCCTTATAAGATAATCTTAATCATTGTTCATTTTCGATGTGATCGATGTGAGATTAATTCAGAGTATCATGGTAGTGCTTCTCTCTTGCTTTTCTCTACCATCCTCAAGAATTTTTCTCAACCATAGCACTTGAGAAGTAGCTTTATCTGGTGCAGTATAGGATTTTGCTGCTTTAAAAACCAAAGAACATGCTTAAGATCCTACAGAAGATACATTACCTCAATGCTTCCTACCCAATCACTGTCAAAGTAACCAACCAATCTTGGGCTTCTTGTTGCCTTGTATAGAATACCATGATCAAGTGTTCCCCTTATAAATCTCAGCACTCTTTTAGTTGCACCACAATGAAGTTGACTTGGCTCCTGCATAAATCTTGAGACTAAATTTGCAGCAAATATAATGTCAGGTCTTGTAGTACTTAAATACAAAAGACTTCTAATTAATCTTCTATAAACTGAAGCTTCAACTTTCTTAGCACCATCATCCTTCTTCAACCTTTCATTGCCTACCAACAGCCTTTGCAATTTGTCTTACTAAATTTCTACAACATATTTTTTGCATAATTTTTTTGAGAAATAATGATTCCTTCCTTCATTTGAGAGACTTATAGTCCCAGGAAATAGTGATGCATACCCAAATCAGCCATCTCATATGCGTTCATCGTATCATTTTTGAATTCTTACGGTATATTATTATCAATAAAAAATAAATCATTTATGTAAAGACAGAAAGTAAGGATATAATCACCTTATTGAAAATAGATAGGAAGAAGAGATATAATTACCACAAAGAAAGAGTAAGAGAAGACAAAATCTTTTATTTTTCATTCAAATCTCTTTATAATTTCAAAAACTCTATATATATTTCATAATATAACATAAGGGATTTATATAATCCACATGGATATATTACATTAATTATATTTAAAATAAATTATATTATTCTAAAAAACCCTTTCAAGAATCAATAGTTAATTTAGTTTGTCCTTTATGTTTTTTCTCTTAATGCAATAAACTCTCTCTTTAATATAATGAACCTCTTTACATACTTTATTATGTTTAATTCTACACATATAAAGTAGGTTCATTTTTACTCCTTTCATATTCACTTTGAACAAGATAATTATCAATTTTATTGTACCAATCACAAGGGGCTTGTATAGTTTTGGAAATGATCTTTGATGTTGCTTGCCGTCGACACAGTCTTCACAATCATCTATTTCAACTTAAATTTCTGACAGCCCATCCACCATTTTTGTCTTTCTTTGCGGACCCTATTTTAAAGAAGAGAAAGATAACCATTTTCAACTAGCTGCCCAACAAGGAGGAGGATATGATGAATGTACATCACACCTTTCCTTTCCTGCAATCATACCTCGAACCTACTGAAGTATCTATTCGAAGAAAAATATTTTTATTTTCAGACATATATATATATGATTACTATAGCCACTATCAAAGTACCAAATATTTCTTTTGTCATAGAAATGTATAAAATAGGACTTCCTTTTCATCTTTTCCTTTAGCAAAGTTAGATTTCTCTTTTGCTTTAAATCTACATTCTTTTTCAATATGGTCAAACTTTTTGCAATGATAACATGGAGGATTTTGGATTACTAGAGTGCATATCTTTGTCAGTATTTCCGTCTTCCATCTTACTTGTGTCGAATTCCTTTCTTCAATTTTGATTTGACTTCTTTGAATCATTTCAAGTCTTCCAAGATTTCAATCTTCTTTTCTCATGTGCTTGAAAGGAGCCCATCAATTCACAAATAGTCAACTTGGTAAAGATCTTTCGATTCCTCTATGGCAGCAACAATAGACTAATACTTATATCTTCAAACTCATCAACAATATTTTGATCTGCAACATTTTCACCGTATGTTCTCATTTGATTAACAATTTCTATAACTCTTGCATGATAATCTATATTTACAAGATTTGAAAGTCTCTTCGCGAGGCTTGAAGATCCATAGTTCATACCTTCGAAGTGCGTAGGCATCTCATCGACGATCTACATCAACTTTCTTCCTTTCTGCTTGTAAAAGATGATCTTCGTTTTCTGGTTCGACGAAACATTTTTTCTTCAAAGGTCTATATAGGCCTTCTCCCGTGAGTACATTCTTCATTTTGATCTACCAATACTCATAATCTTCTCCATCAAAGAATGGAATTATTGATGTTGAGAAGCCATCGGTTGAAGGTATAGAAGTCATCCACTTGTTGGCAGAAGCGACGAGGAAACGACTTCGGTGACAAATGAACATCAAAGTTTATATGTCGCTGTAATAGAACTCAAAACATAGAA